GGGGAATTCCCGTAGGGAAAGAAGAAAGAGGAGGAAGGGTGGTTCCCAGATTACCGGTTGGTAAACCCGCGCGACATCCCGCACCGCCAGGAGAAGGGGAGAAAAAAAAAGTCAAAAACAAAGATAACACAAAAGGAAGGAAAAAAGAAAAGAATGCAAGATGGTAAACCTGCATGGACAGGGCACTTACTCTCGTGCAGGCCAAACTTAATACAGAGGTACGGGCAGCACAAATTGGGAGGTGATGGTCCAATCTCAGACAGCCCAGAAACCACACGAGTTTCCTAGTCGGGGTTGGATAAGCTGGTAGGTCACGGGGAGGTAGAAGTGGTCACAATCGGACTGCTCCTTTTATTTTATTTTGTTTTATTTATCGTTACCCCGATTGAACTATTGCTCTACTAAAGGTGCCGAATGGAAGGAGAAATTCAAGCGCCGGAATTAATTATAAGGTCGCAGGACATGGAGAGATCGCGGAGATTGAAAATCAATAACGGAGTATGATGGATGGATGATGATGATGATGGACATCGAATCCCAACTCCAGGTTACAGTCCGGCCGAGGTTCTAACCGAAACAAACCAACCAGATGATCCTCCCACTGGGGAGGGGATCTATTGGCTAGGAAGATCTCTCCTGCTGATGAAGATTAAGTACGATGTCCGTCCGTTAGTCAGTACATGGAAGAGGGGGGTGGGATCAGGGCAGGGGAGAATGGAAACGAGAAAAAGGAAAGAAAAAGGTTTCATTTAGAGGGAATAATTGGTCCCCGGCTTCCCAGAAAAGGATGGACCGCCCTGTGATCATTCCAGTTCAGTAATGAAGGGGTGAACGGTCAGCTCTCTTTCTTCAAGAGCTTCTTCTTCGACTCTAGTGTCTGAACATAATGCATACGAGGCATCCACTATGGTCTTTGATCAACCCGGTGTTCGCCCATCAATCGCTTCATTGCTTTCTCTCGAGGCTATCTTGCACCCTCCCCGATCGGGTGTTATTTCCGTCACCGTTTCTCGTCCTGGGATTCGTGTATCGACAGACAGGCGATAGTCCAGTTAAGCAAGGCTCATCCTGACCCAGGTTCCGGTACATTGAAAAGGTGGGGAAAGAATGCGCACAGGACCTTCAGAGTTCAGACGTCGAGCGATCAGGGAAGAGTCAAGTCACATACATCAATCGACAGGAAATGGAAAGTAACTAGTATCTACCGCGCCAGCAGCTCAAGACGGGCGCAACTAACACCCTGTAGACAAACGACTGCATCAGCATGACTTGGGCATTCAGTGTCATGCATGTTAGGTAAGGTGGATGTGTATTCGAGTATTTCCTACTAGTATACATACGCCTGCGCACGCTGGGCAACCGGGCAGCCTGAACTCGTGTTGATGATTGGCGAGGCGTTTCCACGTGTTTTGAGCCCCGGCGAGTAGTGGATGTGGAAGTGGAAACTGAAGGTCGCCTCGATGTCGAGTCATAGAAAAATCGATACAATAGGATGACTTTGCAGTAAGGCAGGAAGCACTACTGACTACTAACCAGAATGGAGTAGTACTATCACCTCCATTGAACCAAGTACTTTGTAAGTAAGTATACTCTTGTGACAGTCAGTAGGTGTCCAGCATTTGCCACTGCCGCTTAGACCATCATAGGGAATGGGCCCTGCATTACTCTGTCGGAGTTACTACGAGGCGTAGCAGACACACTAGCCAGAGAAGCAGCAGCAGTAGTAGCATGCAGCTGCTGTGGCTTGCCCTCATCATTCCTAATTCCCTCTCTGACTTATTCTTACACCTGTTTTGTGTTCTGGCTGTCGGTGACGTAATAGGATAATTGATACCTTCAAGCAACAGTAAACTGCTATCCCCTCATGATCCAGATATTTATCCATGATATAATCTAGTAGTTAGTTAGCCGGCTAGTATGTCTAGAGTAATATAGGTATAACAACCCAAAGAAGGTAGAATGACACCGTCACTCAGCAGGATGCATCCAACCCCATCATCAGGAATGCAACCCCCAAACATGACTAAGTAAGTAACCGAGCTTCATTTTCCCTTTCCATCCCTCCCAGCCTACTGGAATAGGCATACACGGTGGGCTTGACTGTGTAAATTCAGATCATTGTGAAAGTTCCCGCCCGAACGGGAAATGCTGGAGGGATGATGGCTGGCTGGGAAATTGATCATTGGTGGGCCTGATTTCATGCGAGGGGAAGGAAAGCAGACGGACAACAATGAATACGGTATGTGTATTTCACCACACTACCACCATAATAACTTACAATACATATAATACAGGACTGACAATGAAGCCAGCCATTGCCAGCACATCATCGACACAGCATCACATACTACACCTACCTAGTAGTAGTTAGTTAGTTTCCAGATTGCTGTGCTTACCAGTACTAAGAATAACTGTGCTAACTAATTAGCTAGTTAACTATGTATCAAGTAGGCGGAGCCCCTCACAATAATAAATCACATTCGATTCTAGGCAATAAAGTCCAGAATTAATATGAATAAAGTGAAGGAAATAAAAAGGGATCAAAAAACAACGACAAGACAAGACTCGAACTCGATTCATTCCCCACACATCCACACCTACTATATCCACACCCACCCTCGAAACTAATTAGTACGTAGTTAGTTATCCAACTAACTAGCTATTGTAATCTACCTATCTTACCCCTTTCCCCTAAGATACAAAGTTTAGTTAACTTATCTCTACCCAAGTTACATACTAAAGTAGTCAGTAAGCAAAGCTCCTAACTAACTATCTCCCTCGACTTCTTTCTTCTGTTGTCATTTGCAGTGAAACACCCCCCTCCAATGCCCAAGCTCTCTCGAGTCAGCCAATTAACCAACCATACATAGTTGAAAGTAGACTACTAGTGATCCAGCTGAAACGTGCCAGGACCCTCCTGGTTTGCTTTACCCCTGTCTCATCATCATCATCACACCCCCTCATACATACCATGAAAATAGAATCCTGCCATCCAAACCTCCCTCCCCTACTCCATAATTCAAACCGCTCTATATGCGTTCGTTGATCCGGATGACTCTTACCGGGATAGCCGAGGAACATTGGTGATCCTTACTATTATGATTCTATTTTAGGGGGGTTGCCGTGGGATGGGAACAGTTACTATTAGCGAACAACCAGCGAACTGGAGTAGCCTGAATAAATGTTCTATAAATAAATAGATAAATAGCATAGCCGGGGTACTGCAGTGGTAGTAGTATTGAAGAAGAGCTAAACTGCAGTGCAGTGCAGTGCAATTTACCCCATAATAAGTTATTTAGTTAGCTAGTTAATTAGTTAGCAACTCAAAAAAAGCAGACAGTAGATAAATAATTAGAAGAATAAATCTGCAATGTCTTGCATAGCCACACCTCTACCTACCTAAGTAAAGAAGGGCACGAAAAATGAGGCTGAGCAGTGCACTCAGCCTGGCAGGGCATTCATTCATACTTAAATACGTACGGAGTACTAACAACTACTAGGGTAAATTATTATTATTAGGCTAGTTAGTTTCGGTCATTCCTTACCCATCACCGCCACAAACAAGCAATGAAGCAAACAATTACTTACGGAGGTGCTACTGTAGAAAAGAAAACCCAAGTAGAGTCATCAATTGTGAAGCAATAAGCGATACAGCCGCGCTAAGCTGGTATTACTTCTACATACACAGATCCAACCATTTTCTTACATAGGAGTAACTAATATACATAACGCAGTCGCAATGGAATGAATAGTGAAGTTATTTGTAACCAGTCAGTCAGTCAGTCAGTCAGTCAGTCAAACAACCAGGGTTTTATCCAAAATATTCATCAACCAGAACAATAATACCAATCAAACAAAATAAGCTAGAACAAAAAGAACAGTTACCCTAGCAATCATCATCATCCCACACCCCCGGGAGTTAAGTTAACTCGGAGTGGAGAGAGAAGAGGAAACTAACGATCGATATAGTATAAAGACCGGTAACCCGGGCCCACTTCACCTCAATCACCCAGACCCAAGGTACATGCATACGTATGGTGTACCTTTATGAGGAAAAGAATGAAAGATACGGTATAGATAATTAGGGGTTACTATAATTATTAACAAGGCAACACTGATGAATCATACGAGAAAGAGAGAGATCTCCAGATCCAAAAGATTGCAGAAAACCAGGCAATCTACCCATACTTAGTCTACTGATCTCGGATGACTGTGCCCGAAGGAAGGTGCCTTGGTTAGTTAACTATTTGATGTGATATGATATGACTCAGGGGCTATTTGCTTACTCACTTAATTCTAACTAACTAACTAGTAGCTAGTTGTTACAAGGCACAATCCAATCCAATCCCCTCCCTGCCTCATGAAATAAAAAAAGGGTTCAAAACTACTGTAATGTAAATATGTAGCAGTGCGGCATTTCATGCCTCTATTACCAATTAGGCATCGTACTCCTGATAGATCGAATCGAATCATTTCCTTTCAGTTTCTTTCTTCTTCATAGCTCGCATGAAAAGAAGGCCAACTCATACCATAGCTAAGTTCCTTTCCTGCTTGCTTCACTCGTGGTGGCTGGGAAGCACAGCCAGATCTGATCTGGGCTATCTACTATCTACACCGCTACATGTCTTGCCCGACTCGTGCGGTGCGTTGCGTTGGTGTGGCGACAGATCCTGTGCGGGAAAGTATGTATCTATGTGGGTTTGCCTGCCTGCTCGGTACTATGTGACCTGTGGTTTCGGAGGGTCCGGATGTGATGGATGTGGATGGTCTAGGCCTAAAGTACTTAGAATCGTTGGGTGAAAGTCAATTGCAATGATTACGAGTCAATGCTGGACAGCAATAATGTCATCCAAATCGTTGAAACTTGCTTAGATACTTAGATATGCTAATGTCACACATGGATATCAGTACAACGGGACGCCAATCCCTGATCTACATTTTTTATGAGCAAATGGTCCCCTCCCTGGTTGCTCATTTAACCGGTGATCTTGTAGATGGATTCGGCGAGACGCTTGACGTTGCCGCTGGTGATACCGGCCACGGAGATACGGCCGTCCTTGGTGGCGTAGACGGAGTGCTAGTCGAGTTAGTGTGAAGAAGAGATACACGGATTGAAGGCTGCTTACCTCCTTGGCCAGAGCGTCCATCTGCTCGGGCTTGAGACCAGTGTAGGCGAACATGCCGATCTGTCGCATGTCAGTAATCGCTTGCATCACTTATGGTTCAAATCCTACCTGGCTGGTGATGTGGGACCAGTCGTGCTTGCTGCCAAGCTCCTCCAGGTTCTTGCGGAGGAGAGCGCGCATCTCAATGATGCGGTCGGCCATGCCCTTGACCTCACCCAGCCACTGCTCGTTGAGCTTGGCGTCGTTCATGATGGTTGAGGCGATGCGGGCACCGTGGATGGGAGGGTTGGAGTAGAAGGGACGGATGAGGATCTTGATCTGAGAATCCACACGCTTCTTCTCCTCGGCGGACTCGCAGACGAGAGAGAAGGCACCGACACGCTCGCCGTACAGACCCTATATCCGCTTAGTATTAACCACATACCAATCAAGCGTCTGTCTTACCATGTTCTTAGCGAAACTCTGGCAGAGAGCAATGTTGTGGCCCTCCTTCACGAAGTGACGGGGAGCAAAGGCATCCTGGTCAGCGTTACCGCTGGCAAAGCCCTGGTAGGCCATGTCGAAGAAGGCAAAGTGACCCTTCTGCTTCATGACATCGCTGATCTGGCGCCATTGGTCCTGGGTGGGGTCGACACCGGTGGGGTTGTGGGCGCAGGCGTGGAGGAGGATGATGCTGTTCTCGGGAGCAGCCTTGATGTCGGCCAGCAGGCCCTCGAAGTCGAGGCCAATGGTGTCCTTGTTGTAGTAGCGGTACTGTCCGACCTCCAGACCGGAGTCCTTGAAGACAGCGGCGTGGTTGGCCCAGCTGGGGGTGGGAAGGTAGACCTTCTTCGCGTGAGGGTAGAAGCGCTGCAGGAAAGCACCACCGATTCTCAGAGCACCGGTACCGGAGATGGTCTGGGTGATGACGAGACGGTCCTCCTTGAGGACGGCGGAGTCGGAACCGTAGGCCAGCTCAGCAGCAGCCTTGGTGAAGGCAGGGATACCGGTGATACCAGCGTATTCCTTGTCGTAGCCAGAGGCGACAACCTTGTCCTCCGCAGCACGGACGGAAGGCAGGACGTAGGGCTTGCCCTTGTCATCACCTGTTTGATCGCAATGAATTGTCAGACTACTGAACGTTGGAAGTTGGTTGTTTGGCGGGATCGGGAGATGGTATGGTTGAATAGTTAAACAGGGTGATGCTTACGGTAAGCACCGACACCCAGGTTGATCTTCTCCTGGAAGGTGTCGGCCTTGTAGGCCTCGGTGATACCCAGGATAGCATCCTACAGAGCCAATGGATCAGCAATGGCATCACAACAGCAATTGGGATGTGTTGGAGATCTTACGGGAGGACCCTGAGGCACGTTGGACCAGGCGGAGGCGTGTCTGGCGCCGACAATAACGGTGCGCACACTAGCGTCACGGGTAGCAGCCTTACGGCTGGCGATTCTGAGGGTGGACAACATGGTGAATGGAGGAGGATTGAATAAGAGAAGAGAGGAAAGAAAAGGAGGAAATGAGCAAGCACTCCAAGAGACCAGGGAGGAGATGATCAGGAAAGAAAGGACGGGGGGTCCAAGGTGCTGGCAAGCAGTACTTGAATGGAAGGCTGGAATCGGGGGAGGAGACAAGCGGGCGAGAGACGAGGTCGGCGATAGTTATTTTATTTTTTGAGTCACTGGAAACTGACTTGGGACTAGTCTGGTTAGCACAGTAGGGAGTTTCCGGGGAGAGACGCGGGAGGCCTCGGATTGGCCACGTCCTCCGCATCGCCAGCAGCTGACTGACTTGGTTGCTTGTTTGGCTGGTTTGCATGGAACCGTATTGACCTGGCAGCTGCAGAAAGCAAGCACGCTGCACATATCCTTCGGATGTACGGAGTAGCATGAATGTAGTATATCTATGTTATCAATGACATGTGAATGCGATTGTCTATCTCTACTAACTGATTGATTCCTATCCGACACAACAATGAACACCACTGAATGAGTTGTCAATGTCATCATCACGGAGAGCGTGGACTCCCTCCTTGACAGATCGCACCACAAATGATGAGCCCGTCCCGCTCGCCCCGGTGAACTGTTTTAGTATCGAGGGAAAATCATGGATGGGCTGAGGTTGGTCTTCCCCTCACGAAGAGTTGGGGTAATTACTATCTGTTCAATCGGAGACAATTCTCCTCCTTGTACCACTTACCTTTAACCACCAGCATCACACCATCAATCATATAAATCTACAGCATTGACTCCATTCCCTTCTGCTGACTACATATCTCACTTTCCACCAGTTTGGTAGCTTTACCACAAAATCCTGAATAGCTACCCACACAACCATGGTTGCTTGCACTCCACCGCCTCGGACAATATCACTCGGCCTCGGTTAAATTCCCCCACACGCCAAGCCTATCCCAATTCAATAGCTCTGCTACACCATCGACGGAGTATTGAGGACGTCCTGCAGTGTCTTCGGAGGGCCGAGTCCATCTTACCTCTCTATCTATCCATCATCGGACAAAACCGCGTGCTGCTGGCTTGCTTGCTTTATCTTCACTCAAAAACAGGTCGATCTATTGGATATAGATAGAATAATATGTGACGTTCTATTGGTATAATCTGTACAAACATCGCATAGCCTAAAAAAGTATCTGCTGGGGATCATAAATGTGCCTCCTGAATAGAGGTCGTTCGGTGAAGGTCATAATCTACTACAACAGTCCGAGAGAAGCAACACCACTCTCAGCCAAGTCGCACACCGGCCTGGCGGTTCTTGCGCGCTGTCGCTCCCATGGCGTTGTTCATACCCGTGTGTTGACTGCTGTCCAGCGCACTCATCGCCTCGCGCTTCTTCTCTTCTTCGATCTTCTTCAACCGCTTCTCCGTCTTCATCTTACCACTGCCCTTGCCGTGGAATTGATGACTGAGGTGCTTGAATGCCTCCTTCTGGTTCATCGCACGACCATGCTCATCCACGTACTTGAGCTGCACATCCGGTTTGTATTCGCGGTTGAACACCTCTGCCATGTGTCGCGCCTCCTGCTGATCGCGCTGCTTGTTCTCCCACCGAGCGTATTCTTCTCTCTCGCGCGCTGACATCCGGTCCAGCTTGCCCGACGCGCGGTCGCGTTCACGCTGCTGCCGAGCGCGTTTCTCCGCGTCGGTCTCCATGCGCATCTTCTCCTGCAGGAAGCGATGGCGGTCGCGCAGTAGAGAATTGTTGTCCGCGGCATCAGAGCCCTTGACCAGACCACGCTGTTTGAGCATGTTCAACGTAGCACCGAGACCTTGATCCAAAGTCGCTTCCTCGTCCAAACCTGTAGTACTGATCTGTTGCTGGGCCTGCGACTCCTCGCGCTTGATCCGTTCCTTGAGATCCTCCTCGTCCTCGATATCATTGTAGGTCCCCATTTCCACATCCGCGTCCTCTGCCTTGATGCTGGGGCCTTCACTCTTAGCACGTGACTCCTCGGCGGGCGACGTGGTTTGTCTCTCGCGGCGCTCTGGAAGGGTAGGTTTCTGTAGGTTGGAGACAAACTCCGAGGTTTCGTCGATCACGAGGCCGGGCTCTTCTTCGTTTCCATCGGGCGTGCCTGTTTCCATCGGTGTCTGGGAACCCTCTTCTCTGAGCTGTCGAGCAAGATCCTCCGGTCGCACTTTTTGTCGCTTCTTGAACGCAGCACGTCTCTGGCGGGTAAGCGAGGCCTGTAGATCATCATCATCGACAAACGAGACATCCTCACTTGCCCACTTCTTGGGGGCGGGCGCGGGAACGGGTGTTCCGTTATTAGTATCAACCTCCATGGCGTTGTCATTCGGCGTACTCGTCGACTCGGTCGTAGGGAATAGTTCGTCGTCATCAATAACAGCTCTCTGTTTCGTAGCCTTCGCCTTCTTCTTCTTAGGCTTTTTAATCTTGATCTCGCTGATATCCATGTAATCGGACGCCGGTGTCGTCGTCTCCGTCTCCAGATCCAAACTGACGATATTCTTGTTCAATTTGCCCGACACCTCCTGTCTCTTTGCCTCCCGCTCCTCCACCGTAGACCCTTGAGCATCCAGAGTAAAGCGTTTTCGCTTCTTGCCATCAATTTCCTCATCATATTGTGCCAGGATACTCGAGTTCTCTTCCGTAGGATCATACGCTGGCTTCCGCTTCTTCAACTCTGTCCGCTCCGTAGCCTTCTCCCTCTCCCTCAAATCAACATTTTCCAACTCATCACCCTCCTCCTCATTCTCATCGATCGTCGCATCCTTCAGCGTGAGAATATGATCCTCGCCGCCCTCGAAATCGCCCACCTCATGCCCAACCTTAATGCCAGCCAGATCGACAGCAGTGTATTCCGCCGCACGTTCCCGTTCTTCCAGCTCCTCCGCCAGCTTGCGCGCCCGTTCCTTCTCGATCTTCTTCTGTCGCTTCTTCGCCTGCATCAGCCACGCCTTGGTATCCTGGTCCGCATCGCCCGATTCACCCAGCGTGGTGCCTTGTAACTTGGCATCTCTCTGCGCCAGCTCTCGTGCCCGCTTGATCGCAGCGTTTCTCTCTTCCCGTTTCCGTTTCGCCTCGGCATCATCCTGCATCTTCTTCCAGTTGGATCCAGCCATCGCTTCGCGCGACTCGAGGGTACTGGCGGGGTCTTCATCTTCGGAGCCGGACGAGTCGTCGGAGTCGTCTTCATATTCGGCGCCAGGAACAGGCAGTGGTTTTAATCCGAGCGCGGCTCGGATTTTGTTGTTCTGCTCAATGGAAACTGCGTCGGCCATGGTGGCGACAAATGCGGAGGAAGAATGGAGATAGATACAGACGGTGGGTCGGTCGGTGGGTGGTGAGGTATCGTCTTCAACAGATGGCAGTGAAGTTGAAGTGACGGATATGAGATATTCAACCCGCCGCAGCCAGCGGCGAACCTGACCTGACCGACCGACCGACCGAACCTCGAGCGCGCGCCAACAAGCACTTACCTAATCAGCACCCATCTCGGTAAGGTTTAGCGCGACAAACTCTTAGCGCGAGCTTGGCGCGGCGGATAAAAGGCGGCTTCGACGAGTTTTTCTCTTCTTCTTCTTTTTCTTTTCTTTTCTTCAGAACATGAACAAACACGGATCTGTGTCTAGCGATCCCGTTCATGGAGGGTAGCAGTTTCGGCTGTTTATTTCTCTGTGTTTCGGTTGAACGCTGGACAGTTCGACGACTTAAGGAGCCATTCATATTGTGGATGGTTTTTGCACTTCCGGTCGACAGATCTCAGATTAAAGGTTGGCGCTGGGTGTTCACTCTGGTCTTGAGCTCCCATCTTGGTGAGCTCGGCTGGAGAACCTGGTTGCTGACGGCGTCATATTCCTACTCCCTTTGCCGAATTGGCCGTCGGTCACTGAGGTCAGGGAATAACCATGACCTGCCAACATTACAATCATTATAATTTATGTATGTAGTTGTAAAGATGTAAAGCTGCGCGCATACTCTCATGTGCTTGGGATACCGTCTGAACCGATCAATAAGTCGGCTAGCGTCTATCAAGAATGGACGATGTAGCATGCTCGACATGCTACTCGAAAAAATGTGCCATAATGCTGAGCCGAAGGATGAAGCACATCGCATCGCGAGACCCTTCTCCAAAACGCCATATGATATCACATCTCACCACCCACCCAATCCCACACGGTCTTTTCTTTCACAGCTACACCCATAACACCCTCCCAAACCGAACTTCGATCGATATAGATACGGAGTTAAAAAAAAAAGTTTACAACAACTTCAAATGCCCCGTCACCGAATCCACCACACTCTTGGGACCCAAAACTCCCAACACCGTGCGGCTCCCACTAGCAATCTGCGTCCGTCCAGCATCCGTAATCACCCTGGCGCAAAGTCCCAAACTAATCGCCTTAGCCTGCATCTCTTCCATCTCCTCCTCCGACTTGACCTGCAGCGCGATCTTCGCCTGACCCTGCGATTCCCACCGGCGCAGGATCCCGCTGTTCGGCGTGTACGCTGTCAGGTATTTGTAACATGCAAGGGTAGCGTGCGAGCATTGGGCGGCGATTTTGCCTGCAACAGTATCAAAACATTACCATGCGCTCACAAAAAACAATCATAATAACCATATCCATAGCCAGAGACATAGAGATATGTATATAATATTGTAATATTGAAGACGGGGGATATGCTTACCCTTCGTCATACCCAAATCCGTCCTCACGACAAGCACCAATTTCACTTCTTCATTGGAGCTATCGAAGTTGGCGAGCTCGGTGCCATCGCCTTCTTCTTCTTCACTGTCCTCTTCTTCTTCTCCTTCGGATTCGTAGTCTTCGTCCGACGAGTCCAGGTGCGGTTTCACGTTGTAGCTGTTCGGCCAGCCTTCTTTTTCTTTGTTGCTGAAGAGGCCGAGGCTGCTGCCTTGGCCGATGAAGTAGCCGGTTATGCCGGCGAGGATGGCGGTCGCGACCACGTAGGCGGCTGTCGAGGGGGGTGTGCGGTCGAGGTCGGACATTTTGGGATTGATTGTTCTATTGGGGTTGGGTGTGGAGGGTGTGGTTTGGTTGAGGGTTGAGTGGTGGTTTTGCGGAGCGGAGCTGGATGTTGCTTGGTCGGCGGTGACGTTAGCGGGCCGGGTGGTTCGTTTCTACTATGATTGATTGTTAACAGGTTAGCTGGAAGCTAGCTATGTCTATACTATTTCTATGGGAGTTGTTGGTTACGTATTGATATGCATGGAATATTGTGGAAAATTAATTGTTCTAGAATGTTGGTCTGCTTACTGTATTACAACTGTTAGAGGCATCAACCCAAACACCGCAATCCAATTTGACAGGCGCTCTGCTTCATTATATACACATCCCAATCATTCTAAAAGAACTGCTATCTTCCCTTAACAGCACGTCTAGTTCGGACGAGGAGCGGGCGCGCCGCCGACGTTTCCAAGGCGACGGCTCCTGTGACACATTAGTAGCGGATCGCAAACAGGAATAATGCGATCAGAGCAAGACAACTTACATGAAGGTACGGCTGAAGAAGCTGATGCCGATCATGAAAAGCCAGCTGGGGATGGCACTGAAGCCGTAGATGACATATCCAAGAGGGAGCAGAAGGTTGTTCTGAGCGAGCCAGCCGTCCGTGGGGTGAAGAGGACCGTCGTAGGCAGGGGCCTTCTCCCAGACCTTCTCAGAGTGAACCTTGTAGATGGTCTCCGGGGTCACGGTGGTCGAATTCAGGTAGACAGTGTGGAGGGGAGTGTTGGGGCGCTCCTCACCAAGCTGGGCCTGAGGCACCTGGAGGAACCAGACCGAAGGAGCACCGGCACCCCAAGCAGAGCAAAGGACCTTGTTCTCTTCGCAGTCCAGCTTACCGAGGTTAGGGGAGGTAGGATCGGCGGAGAAGAGAAGCACGGATTCCTAAATAGGAGGATTATTAGCGACTATTGTTATCAAATCGAGTGGGTGCGCCCCCTATTCTAGGGCTTGCTTACATTGAACGCTTTGTCTGCCTTGTCACAGCGACCGAAGCAAGTCTTGTTCCCTCCGGTGATGTATACCAACCAGTCCTGGGGCTCCGAAGCGGGCTCCAGGTAGGACTGCCAGTTGGTCATGTTGAACTCGGAGACGGTCTTCTCCTGGATCTTGGTCTTCTCGACGACCTTCTCAACAACGGCAGCGGCGGGGGCGACCGGGGTGGCAGTAGGCAAGTAGGACTTGGCCTTGTTGAACCAGCCCTGGACACGGTCTGCAAGGGGAACCTGCTCCTGAGCCACAGCGAGCGCTGGGAGGAGGGCGACGACCGGGGTGAAGCGCATGATGCTGAAGCAGTTGATGACGCGTGGTCAGTATAGGGGGGTCGAGGGAATTTATCACATCCAAGGGATGGATGGATGGAAGAGAAAACCAACCTGAGCTGTTATTGAAGAGACGGGCGCACTTTGGAAAGAAGAAGAATTCAAAAGCCAAAGTACGGGACAGCAGGCAGCTGGGGAAGACAGGCACTTGGGGATGTTGAAGGTCGAGTGAAACGGCGAGAGATGTAAGCGTCGGCGACAGGTGGCCTAACTCTAAATGGCCGCCCGAGGATCCAACCGCCGCGGAAGCGGGGATTCCGCCTTCTGGAACACTTTTAGCTTGACAGATTCGATTGCACTGGATTCTGCGCAGATTGTGGATGCAGATACTATACAACTACTTGTCTACTAATTAGGGGTTGCATGTCTTGCATGCCCCGAGTCTCTTTACAATGGCATTGTTGACATGTTGACACGCGGCAATTCAGTGGATCCGTGGAGCTGTGTAGCATCCGGACAGCTTCACTAACAATGCGATGTGCAACCACAACAAATAATCTCCATATGGAGATAGGGTGGTATCAACGGTAATCTAGGAGATTTAACTAGACGAGAAGAAAAAGCAATTATGGATGCTTATCGAGTATGACAGGCACAGCATGCTGTTGTGATGACAGCTGTGCCGCTCGATCATGCTGAGATGCTCGCTGTTTCCATGAGCTGCACTCCCTGCCATCATGGCACCTTCCTTGGTACCATTTATCTGCATCTGCTAGTAGCAATGTGACAGATGCAGTGTTGCAGCGACTGACAGACGCAGCTCTATGCAACTCATCGCTAGATGCAATACTTCAATAGTTTACTGCATCCATATTGTACCAAACCAATATATCCTCAATCAAGAAACCGCCTTCGTTGTCAAGTATGATACAATCCTGGAAGAAAGCTGGGGCCTGCTTATTAGTCCTAGCAGCCATGGCTTGTTTCTCATTCGGTGAGGCCATCTACATCGTCGCCGGAAAGAATGGGGCTATTGTCCACTCCAAAGGTATCTTGTCTCAAAAGGGCAATGGTCTAACATGGCTTACTCTTTTAGCGATGACGGAGAGAATTGAGCCTCCCCCAAACACAACCATGGCGATCCGACGATCTTCCCCCACACCGGGTGATTTCCCCATTTGTAGGGACCCTCATGGCGCTGCCCGACCATTCTGTCTCCCAGAGAATGGTGCGAATGTGACGGTTGGTGGGACTTACTACATCACCTGGGACGCGGACTTTTATCCTCTGAATGCCACAATCACCATCGAACTGAGATACGCGGACTCCGTGGAAGGGGATTCGACATTTACCTCGGACAAGACGGACAACAGCTACGGATATACTCACATCTATATGCAGCAAGAGTGGCTTCAAGGGAAGCAGCAGAACCCTCTGGCGCTTTACATCATAGAGCTGGACTCGGTGTCAGATAAGCGGGCAAGTGCCCGACGGGGTCCAACCGTTATGCTTCATCCCAAGCCAGTGCAGCATCACTTGTCTCCTCAGCCGACTTCCTTTAACAAGTTGGGCCTGTATATTGGCCTCCCAGTGAGTCTCAGCGTGGTCATACTCGTTGTTGCCGGTCTCTACTTTGGGATGCGAGAGAGCAGGCGAATTGATCTGGGGAACATTGGGGGCCCGGGGTATGGCATTAGAAAGTCCAAGAGTCAGCGTCTAGGCCGTAACCGGTGCGAGTCAACGTCGGAGAGAACTGTGGAGGAGACGAGCTCGGACATCACCGAAGTCGCCCAGCCCGGTCGAAAGGGAGCTTTAGAGGGAAGTCTCAGCTTTGGGTTCAAGCGTGATTCGTCGAAAACAAAGGGCTGGCAGGTGTAATTCAAGAGCATAAGAGCAGTGCGGCAAGACTAAGGCAGGCAGGATTTGGTGCGCGCTTGGCCCAGTTGGTGGCAGGCTTTTAGATATTGTATAAGCGAGCCCGTTCAGTGGTATGACTGTTATTGGACTAGTGTCTGCAAGAAAGACTAAAATCTCACGCTATCCTTCAACCAGAATAGGAAAGAGAACGAATGCAGTAGCCTAGGAGATAAAGAGTTAAAATGATACTTTTAGAGGGTTTAGTGCCGGAGCATCCCACCCGCCATTACATAACCCACGGCTTCTCTACAGTAGCCACAGTCTATACTAACTATTCTCCCACTCACCATGTCCGGGGCATCCCCCCGTCGCAACGCCTCCCACCTTGATATAGTTGGTTTGTGGAGTGAGAGATCCCTCCGCTGCCATGGATAAATTGACCAGGAATGACTCGCTGGGCGAGTTCGTCTGTCGCTTCCCCAACTGTGATGCCCGATACCGGCGCAAAGAGCACCTCCGCCGCCATGAGGCCAAACATATCCAAGATCGGACATATCCCTGTTCCATCTGTGGTCAGGAATTCGGACGAAAGTATACACAAAGTTAGCTTGCAGCGCGCAAGGCTCCTGCGCGCTTGTTGTTCTGTCATTAGTAACGTGCGTTAGTGACACACTGCGGCGACATCTACGAGTGAAGCATCAGTTGAATGAACCCGTCCACCGAGCTCGACGCGCCTGCTCCAACTGTCGAGCCATCAAGGCTCGATGTGAAGGGAAGCCTGTTTGCACAGAATGTCAGCATCGGGGCATTCGCTGCTCTCTCCGCGAGGCGGAGGACTCCCCGGCGCCCGAAACCCGACCAGCGTCCGTGAGCCCGCGGCCAGCGGTGTCCAGAGAAGAACAGTTTGTCAAAATGTTCTTTGAGTTGTTTCACCCGCATTGGCCGTTTGTGCATCGGGGGACGTTTCGCATTCGTCATGAAATTCCCATGTTGGTCCAGTCCATGGTGGTGCTGGGCTTGTGGGCGAGTGGGGAGAGGAGCGCACGGTGTGCGGCTGTCGAGTTGCATGAGCAGCTGAATTCGGCGATTTTGCAGCAGAAGGTCAGTGTGCAAATATTTGTAAATCTGTCATGAATGCTAATGCAGTTGCAGGAGAGATGGGATGTTCCCGATGAAGTACATATACCCCATTCGGGGTCGTGGCCATTGCCGATTTACCAGGCGATCTTATTACATGTCATCTTCTCTCTGATCTACAAAACGCACGGCTCTCTCGGGATAGATTTGAAGCCGTCTGGACTAAGGACTGATACTGAGCTGCTGCTCAAGTGCCTGATTCGGAGCTGCCGTCTCCGGGGCATGTTTTATTATCCGCGCATCCTACAGCAATATCAGGAACCTGCGATTGCTCAATACATGCTGGTCAGTATTGAGGAAGTAAAGCGATTCAACATTGCACTGTATAAGGTGTGCACAACGATCTATGGCTCGACGGCGCTGAGCCAGATGGTGGATGGGGCATCGATGGGCAACATCCTTCTAACGGCGGATGAATTGCAGTTCCCGCTGCCGGAGAACCACGAGTTATGGGATGCAGGGACACAAGCGGAGTGGGATCGAGCCCTGGAGGGGATGAGCGTGGATGGGTTAGGGGAGTTTAGGGAGAATGAGTGGATATCGAAGCAGGCTCGGATGATGCATGTATTGGGGAATATTTAGCTCACTACATACCATCTATAATTGCAGTGGTTGAAGCATATCAGATACGATCGATCAAGACTGTAACAATGTAAACAAAATCAACTCCATTATCACTACATAAAGAACAAACACCCTCCATCTCTACCCCAGCAACCAACTACAAACAGAACATAACATCTACGCCTTCACCCCATCCTTCTCATTCTTCGTAATCGTATCCACAATCGCAGTCTCCAAATGCGGAATAACCGGATCCTTCTGCACCCTCACCCCCTTCGTCATCCTCGCAATAGTGGTATAGAACCCTAGTACAACAAAACACTCCACGACCTCATCATCCGTCATAACCCTCTTAGCCCACAGAATCGTCTCCTCGTTATTATCATACGTGCGGATCGACTCCTCCACCAGCGTCAGAATACACTGCTGGCGCTCCGTCCATATGCCCATAGCAATCAGCTCCTTCGAGGACAGACCCTTGCGCAGAGCCTCGATCTTATCGTCGCCAAGCCCGTTAAGGCGCGAAATGGGCTCGTTGATGCCGAAGAGGTACTCGGCGTTGATGAGTCCGGTCATGCGGAGGACAATGAGCTGGTAGTCGAGGAGTTGAATGGTGCGCTTTTCGCCGGAGAGAATGCTGTCCAGGACGGACATGATGGGGAGGAAGGTTCCTGGGGAGCGGGCATAGAGGCGGAAGACGGCGCGGTCGATGGGGTAGGATCGTAGGAAGGCGGCGTTGGCTTCGTGGGTTGGGGAGGGGTTGTGGATGTCGATGCCTTCGATTAGGGGGTATTTTGCTGCCATGGTGAGGGCTTGTTGGTTGGTTGATTAGGTATGAGTATGTGTGGTTGGTTTGGATGTTTTGGATAGTAGATTGTATAGGGTTATGGGAGATATCTGTGGTAGGATAGTAGATGGGTGTTTTTCTTGGACCACTTCTAACTTTTAAATACAGTGATTGAGGCACTGCTGATCAGTCCATCAATGATTATCAAGTCATGCCATATCGGTATATCAGCCATTGACTTAGACTACCCTCGTATTCTCATGCAGGATGCTGAAGGAGTATCAGGATTGCCGATATACTTGTTTCAGACTCGCGCGGATGTCAGCATCACCAGCGGCAACGCTAACTGCCATTCATGTGCGCCCTAGTATCTTACTCCCTTCAACGGCGGGAGAGCTAATTAAGGCCCGCATGCGGTATGCCTTCTGATTGGATTAGGGACTGTATACACAAACTATACGACACGAATTGAATTTGAATGGAGTCAAGATGTATGAATGCCAGTGATTTAAGATCATTCCACCGCTGCCACCTATCCGTCCATCTCATCATTATCATCAGCCCATACCCCATACACATACACACACTATCACTTCTCATCAACCCTACTATCTATCTACCCACCAACCAACCTCATATACTACAAAGTAAAAATGGGCTCAACAGACCCCTACCG